GACTAGCTCTCATAGTTTCAAAAAATACCATTCAGGCTGCCAAGGGAGAAAACCAATCAATGATCCTACCCAGCTGTAAAGCCTATGAACCAAACAGTGATAAGTCCAGAAAAAAAATCTCTATTGGTGCAGCAGTGGTATTTTTATCTTGGGGCTAATCAACAGTTGTCTAATTAGACTTAAGACCTAGTCAATGGGAGAGAACTCATGTGTGGTGCTATAAACATAGCCAAGTACATATGTCTGGAGAGGTCGTAGATCATAGAGAAGAACCTAATTCTGTCACTTCTCTAGACCAATGTAATTCTTATGATATTCTAAATATATTTATAGACCTCTCACCACTCATCAGTGAAGCTTTGTTTATAGCAGATGGAGACCATTACAAAGTTACACAACTGCTTAAACCCAGAAATACACGACTGTGGGGCCCAACCTTAAGTGACACATCTACAAATCAACTTCTATACCTAAGTCTTGGGGAACATTGCAGAAGAGGTAGAAAGAATGTAAGAGTCAGAGGGACCTGAGGCTATTTAATGCATTTTAGACATGGTAGGGAAGACACACCAATGAAATCTCATCAGTATGGTAGTCTAATGAAATCTGCATAATAGCAAAACCAGTTGACAGGCTAAAGTTGATCGGGGGACTATCACAGGATCCTACCTCAGGATGCAGAGCTACAGGCAACCAATAAGGGGGAATCAATTTTCTCCAGGGTCTAGTTTTCTGAGAGCTTATATATTCCCAAGTGATCAGTCCTAAACACAGGTACACATGAGCACCACTAAATGAACTCAATTCATAATATATAAATATATATGTATATATAAACATATGCACATATGTATATATAACAATAATAAGCAAAGAAGAGAACAAGAAATTGAGAAGGAGTGGGGATCAAGGGAGGTGTTGGATGGGGAATGGAGGGATGGAAATAATGCAAAGACAATATCATGCATAAAATTCTCAACAGTTAAAAAGCAACATTTTTAAAAAGAGGTAAAATATTGAGGGAGGCTTGGGAGAAAGTTTGAACAACTGTAATATATTTGCAATATTTTGACAGTCTAAAACATTTTGTAGTTTTAAGAATGTAAAATTGACCTGTATAATTTTATTTCATCATATAAGCAACTATGTTTGAAATATTAAAAGATACACTTATCTCAGGTTATTGCAATTTATTTTTTGAGATATACTCTCACTATCTGACTCTCTGGACTGGAACTCCCTGTGTAGAGCAGTCTGGCCTCAAAATCACAAAGATCCACTTTCCTCTGCCTCCTGAGTCCTGGGATTAATGGTGTATACCACTAAGTCCTGCCCTGGTTATTGCAATTTTCAAAACATGAACCAGCTACATACTGTGGAATTTATTGCAAGAATGGGGTTAAATTTATGATAGAAAAAGCTATAAATTTCACATATACCAAATAATGCTAATTGGTTTTATTCTGTTTTCCTGTCTAATAGATACAGAAATATTTTTCAAAAGGTGTAAAGAAGTAGAACTTTTAAAACAAGCAAACAGGGGCTGGAGAGATGGCTCGGCAGTTAAAAGCACTGACTGCTCTTGCAGAGGACCCGGGTTCGATTCCCAGCACCCACATGGCTGCTATGAACCATCCTTAACTCCAGTCCCAGGAGAATCTGATACCCTTTTCTGACCTTTGTGGCATTTCACGACACAGGTGCACTCACATATATGCAGGCAATACACTCATACACATAAAATGAAAATAATAAATAAAATATTAAAAAAAACAAGCAAACAAAACACTCATTGGATACAACTTTGCATTATACATGTTTAAACAGCAAACATCAATGTAGAGTGTTTAATCTTAAGGATCTGGGTGCTTCTGCCTAGGTATTTGCTAATTCCTTTGCTTCATCATTAAAATGAGGAGTGTGAACTACTGTCCTGTTTCTAATTTAACTTTGAAACTGTAAAGCGGGAGTAGTGAATACTGTGGTCCTCCAATCAGACTTCCCCCAGTCCAATTCCTTCGAGAATGAAGCACTGCATACCCCAGCTGCTGGGATTAAATGTACCTGACAGCTCTTGGCTGCACCCCTCTCTAGGAATGTCCCTTCACCAAAGAGATCCATTCAAGGTAATGCTCATTCTTGGAAGCAGTATGTATCCAATGATGAGTTCATTATAGACTATAAAGAACCTGTTATTCAATTCAGAGCATCTCTTCCTGACTACCCTAGGCTCGGAGGTGCCCATGGTATCTGCTGAGGTCTTTGTGGCAAGTTAATCATAGTTCACCTCTCCCTCTGCCCATTCCATGCCAATACTAAACAAATGTTGAACTTGAACACGCCACAATAAACTTTATCCCCCCACCCCCAAAAAAATCTCCATCTCATGGTCTGTTTATTCAGCAGTCTGACTTGGAACAGTCACTAAATCCCTCTTATTTCTTTGAAAAGAGCATGTCCACGTGGAGGCATAAATGCTTTGAGATTTGGACTGTAGTTCTTATTCTTAGGAATGAGGAAGTTGACACTATGGTTCAACAATTATTTCTACAAGTATGCTAATGTAGTGTAAAATTATTTCAGAGGCATAAAATGTAGTAATATAGAAATGTAATATATTGATTGTTATTTATACCATAATAGTAAAAAGTGTATGTTTTTAAAATGTGTAATATAAACTGGGTGCTGTACTGCACACCTTTAATCCCAGAGCTGGGGAGGCCAAGGCAGGAGGGTCTCTGTGAGTCAAAGCCAGGATGGTTTATATAGTGAGTTCCCAGTCAGCTGGGATACAGGGAAAATGACTCAAAAAATATGGAATAGGAATCAATTTTTTAAGGATAGAAACAAGCAAACTGTGTCAAGCATTTGCTTCTCTAGAAAAAAATAAAACCTAATCTCAATATTTGAAAAACAGAAAGGGCTGTAAAAATTAGGGAAAACTAACAAAACTACAAAGAATATAAGAAAGTTTTTACTAACAATAGAAATAGTGGTAAAAAGAAAGTAGCCTAAAAGAGAAAAATTAATTGAAAACTGGAAAAAAATGGAATAAAGTACCACATTTAAAAAAAAATTTCTCAGGTTGATATGATGGAACACAGCTGTAATCCCAAAATCCCAGAGGTGGAAGCATGAGGGTCAAGAGTTCAAGGTCATCCTCAGTTGCAAAGTGGGGCTGAGGCCAGCCTGGACTATATCGAGGTCTTATTTAAAAATATCCAAAACACAATAAACTGAAAAAAAATGTAAACTCCCAGAATTTCTGAAAAAGAAAATTAAATGCATAATAAACACCATCACTATGAAAAATTAGATCTCATTAAACTAACCCAAGTTTTATATTCATTCTTATATTCGATACAATTTTTTTCACTTGTAGTTTTCCTTCAAGAACTTTGGCCATTTGTTTCTTTCCCAAGTTTTTTTTTTTTTTTTTCTGCCTTCTCTGTTGTTTTTCAGCTTAAGCATAAAGGTCTACCTGTCCAGTACATTTCCAATGAGGCAAGATCACACACTTCCTTCTTACTGGGTTTCCTCTCCTGTCATCTTACACTTCATTAATGTTTTTTATCCCTTTCTTTCCTAAGTCTTCTACATTAGTCAAATGAATCAGAAAAGGCTTAACTAAAATCAGCCATGAAAAGACAATTTGTAAGTAGGAAAATATTCTCTTACAAAAATTCAACTATCTCCTCTTCAGGTAAAGAATTAACTGTCTCTCCAGTAAATGCCAGTGTCAGAGACACTCCATGCTTGGCAACCAGAGATTGCTGGATCCTAGTAAGTAGCAGCAGCTGGTTTAGTAGGCATAGAATGGCTCTGCATCTGACCTCTAACAGGATGACTGAAGGTCTCTTGCTTTGGTCCTTTTAAGTAGATACTGTTTTCTGTTTACTTATGCTGGAGTCTGAAGCCTTGGGACATTGTTGAACATACTGTCAACTGGCCCTGGTGCCAGACGGGATCAGGGGGCTCTGGAATATTTACAGTCTCCCTTCTTCTGCTTCCATAAATGAAATGGTCAGTCTGAATGGGGAAAATCAAGGGCCAGCTGGCTGAAAACACAACTGGCAGCAAAATACTTGAGCAAGTTCCAAAGCTGGTGTTTAAAGAGAGGCCAATTTACAGAGCAAATCCAACTACCACAGCAATGGCTGGTACACTAGCTGTGGCATGAAGTAGTAAAAGCTTACTCGAACTATTTTCATTTTCAAAGTTTGGAACCTAACTTTTTCCCTCAGAAGTGTTCTAATCTTATAGAGTAAGTCCCTTTAAACAATCCATTCTGCATAACCATCACAAGCTCATAACTTTGGGAATGTGAGATTACATGTCATGGTGGATAGTCTCACTTTTGCTTAAGTACATCCATTCAAAAATAAGAAAACTGTTAGAAAATTGAGAAGGAAGCACAGAGCAAGGAGGAGTGACCTAAGGATTTATAAGGAGTACCTTGGCAGACAGCCAGACACTTAAACTAATTTGAGAAGTTACTAACATATCATGAGGCCAACTGGCAAACAAATGTTGATTTCCTTTTTGAAAGAAATATATAACTACAGCTTTGGTATTTAATGGGCTTCTGGGGGAGGGGATCACATTGAAGTACTGGAGCTTAGGTAAGGAACTTGCCCCAATTTTACAAGGTTCTAATAAGGATAACCATGGCCGAGCAGCATTTAACCCTGGGCTCTCTGATGGGTGTCAAATACAAAATATACGTAATACCATAATACATATTCAGAGGGCACAAACAATTCTACAAATAAAATCTTCATCATTTTCCCCCCATAGGCCAGGAACAGAAGAATTTGAGGGTGATTTAGCAAAAGTGCCGTCTTTTTTTTATTTTTATATGCAATCATAAATGACTGGAAAGAGATTAGGAGAAAGGACCCAGAGAAAAAAATAAGTCCAGCCAGATAGGTGCCCCCAGCAGCAGTTCTTTGGTGCTATAATTCCAGAAATGGGAAAAGACAGTAGCAGGAAGGCATTACCTCAATGTAGGGCACAATCTTGCATGAGAAGTCCTCCAAAAGCCACTTCTTGGTCAGCTCATGGAAGATAACCAGGGGAAGGCAGAAAAAGATGATGAGAAAGTCCCAGAAGGCCAGATTGGCCAAGAGAGAGTTGGAGATGCTCCTCATGTAGTAATTGTGACACACGATGCACATCACCGCCAAGTTACCAATGATACCTGTCCCAAAGATCACCACAGACAAACACATGACAGCGTAGGCTCCATAAGACTCCTGGGTCAGTGGGTAGAAGGGGTTCTTCAGTTTCATGCGCCTGTTTGTGCTGTTTCCCCGCCTGGGACCCCCTTGCTCATGGACCCCGTCGCCCAAGGACCCATTTTGGGGTAGTGCCCTGCCAGGGGGCGCAATTGTCCTCCCTTCGTGCCCCGCCAGCCCATTGACTGTCTTAGATGACTGCTTATGGTGGGAACCCTGCAGTTTCCCAGTTCTCCTTGGCCAGTAAAAGAGGTCTCTGGCTTCGGGTTCTGTTTTCACACTCTGCTCTTGGCTGTGCCTAGAAAGGCCAGCACCTCTGGGACTTATCTCTTCCTCCCCAGAGGTCTGAAGGAAGAGCTGGAGGTCCGTGGGGTCCCTTCTCCTCAAATTTCCAGATGACTCCTGAACCCCAGCACTTTTCCACCTCCGGGCGCCTGGAGGCCTGGTCGGAAGTCCTAAGGGTCCAGCAGGTGCCTCCCGCCCTGCACTCACACCTGTGTCATCACCCTTGGCGGCGGAGAGGTCCCAGGAGGTCGCTCCCCGTACCTCTGTCTCCAGTTTCTCCCTGGGCGAATGGACTCGCAGAACATCTCTGGCAGAATTTTCGGGTCCCCAGACATCCCTGCTGCGGCGCTGGATCAGTGGGGAACAGCTCTCCCCCAGACAAGTTCCGTTCCTCGGCGCAGGGACAAAGCCGAGGGCAGCAGAGACAGAAACCTTGAGCAGCAGCAGGAGTAGCAACAGCGATGTGACAGGGAGAGGCGCGCCCCGGGCCCACATGGCTCTGCAAGGGGCGCACCCAGCTGCCCGGCTCCCGCTTAGCACCGACACCTGCTGCCTGACTTGGCACTGAGAGTTAGACACATGTCACCTACTCACCGCCGCCAAGGCAGCGGGGACAGCAGGGGATGGGGATGGGGGGAGGTCACAAACACACCCCTACAATCCTTCCTTGTTTGGCGTCCTGTGCATTTCCCAACCAAACCCAATCCAAGCTCCGTGCACCCGAAGGAGTAGCTGATCCTCTTGGCTGACCTTGAAAAGTTGCAAACACCACCTGATTGTCGACTAATGTTGCAACTGGGCGAAGCCCGGAGGAAGCCCCCGTGCTCCTCCCTGCCTTTGGGTGGCTGCTGCCTTCTTGAGAACAGTTGCTCTGCTGTTTACATCCTTTGCGTGCTGCGTTATCCAGTTGCAATCCGAGGTCTCTAGAGAGAAAGAAAAGCAAGTCCCCCTCCACCAGATAACTCGCTGTCACAATTCCACTCCTGGCTGCCTGCGTGCGCGTTGGAAACTGGCAGCGCAGACACACCGGGAAACTCTTGCCCCGCCTAACTCCGGAGACTTTCAAGCTACTGTTGCTAAGGAGAAGCCAGATTCGAAACCCGCGGCCACTGTCAAAGTTGCTGCTCCTCCAGCTCAAAGTTGACCAGGGGATAGATAACAGCTGCGCGACGCGCCCCTACCGGGAAGATGCGGGTTGGAGAGAGGAGGAGCTGCTGGTTTGTGCACAGTGCTGCCGGCTGCAGGAGCTTGTCATAGACACAGCAGGCGCAGCCCAGGCAGAGACGGTGGTGCCTGGAACCGCCCTGGGCGGGCAACGCGGTGCGTGGTCGCGAGGGGAGGTGGCCCGGCCACTGCCTGCGGCTCCGCCACCGCGCGCTCCTCTCCTGGTCTCCTCCCTCTAGTCCTCCTCGTGCTTTCAGAGCTTCTGGTTTGTGGAGAGACAGGATCCCCTGGTGGTTTCACCACACACTAATCCCACACACCTTTCATTCAAGCGGGTTTCAGTGGCTTTCACTCGGGGGAACTGGGAGCCACAAGGGAACAAGGGCGCGGCTGGAGGCGAAGAGATGAGCTGCATAGGTTAATTCCCTCGATATCCTAACCAACCAGACCTAACCTCGCAGGTCGCTAGGGAGCGGAAGATCTCTTGGCTAGAGGGTGGGGGTGATGGTTGGAGAGAGTAGAAAGGATGAGACCTGTAATCTTCATTTGGCAACAACTGGTGCGCATGCGCGGGCCTCAGCCTACCCAGAGAATAGTGAGCTTGTCAGCTCCTTATGTACTCCTGAAGGAGTACTGGAAAGAAATGGGGCTTAGGGCTTTCTTTCATAGAGAATGAGGGGGCGGGGGCAGTGTAAAAAGGCTCCACTCTTACCTTAACACAGACTTGGGAACATCCTACCAGGAGTTACATTCAACCACTCAGAGCACAAGGATAACAGCCTCCTTAATGAAGGACTGAGAACTGAAAGCTGACAGCAGGAGGAAACCGAATTTCCAGAACCGCTGTCCATGCCTTTCCAACATTTCTGCTAAACCTATGACCCTGTATAGGCATTATGGTATAAGCAACAAAATAGACAGATGTCAAATTAGGAAAAGAGAGAGGAAGAAATAAACATTTTGTGAAATGGAGACAAAGGTAATAACAGAAGAATTGATCTAGAGGCACGAGAGAACATATAGTCAACATGTGGTAGTTGTGGTGAAGCCTAAAAGCTGTCATCCTCATCACTGACTGCTGTGAATGTGTGTTCACATGGCAAATCTGCAGTGAGATTCAGTTAGGGAGTTGGAGATGGAAAGTATTGTAAGTTATTAAGTGAGCACATAAGGGACCCAAAAAGAGGAAGGCAGGAGGGTCTGGAGAAAGTCAGGCCATAAGCCAAAAAGGGATGAGAGCTCACTGACAAAGGAGGACAATGTTCTATCCCCCCCACCCAACTTCTGACTTCTGATCTCTGACCTCCAGAACCTGTTTTTGCATTTTGCATTCATCTCTTGGGGCAGTGACGGTAAATTAATGCACGAATTTGTCTATCTGTATAGACAACAGAACCAATTTTACAGAAAAAAAGTCCAATCACACAAAATAGCTCAAAAAAAAAAAAAAAACCAAACAATTTGTAGAAACCTTAGTAAAACTCTCATATTAAAAAGACCAAAGTATTTATCAGTGTCTACTCATAAGGAAACTCTAGACCTTAATGTAGTCTTGGGAATAACTTTATATAAAACATCTGAAATCTAGCCAATGCTTTTTTGAAGGCAGAATAACTTTATAATCAACATCAGGCAAAGTAAAAAAGATTGTGGACAAGAACCCATCCACATTTGTGCATCTATTTATTCATTTATACATGTCAATTGTCTCAAATTTGTTAAATCATTAAAGAAATACTCTGGGCAGGCTAATTAGGGCAAAGACGTGAACAAAATAAAGTCCTGTTTTTACTGAATTTATATTCTTTTGGGAAAGGTGTAATGAATAAGTAAAATGTATATGCATTGTGTAGATGCTGCTATGCTATGGAGAAGGGAACTGGGAGTAAGTGAACAGTGGTAGTAGGAGAAGGCCTGCTCTTAGTGAAGGCTTAGCTAGCAGAGGTACCTTACTAGATGTCAAGACTACTGTATAGCCATGGTCCTAAAAATAGCACAGTATTAGCATGGGGTAGCCGCATAACCCAGTGAAATAAAAGAGAAAACAGAACACGCATAAACTTACATGGAACTTGATGGAAACGACCGTGACAGGTGACGGAAATGTTTGAGCAAGTCAACAAATGTTGCCAGGAAAAGTTGAAAATCCATATGAAATTAAGTATGTAAAACTTTGAAAAGAAAATTAAGATAGTCATTATGACATCAGAGTAGTAACAGTTTCATAAGACTCAAAACTCAAAGGAATAAAAAACAATAATGATAAATATAACTATTTTAAGGTTTTGTATTTCTAAACCAGTTAGTCAATGATACACCCAGCCACAAGGTGAAATCAAAGTGTGTTTGGAAGGATTGGGGGATCTGTGGCTACTCATCAAGAAACAAAAAGTCTGATTGCAGTTGGTCATAGAAATCCAAAGCAATGAAGTGATCCAGGATTACAGATGCTGCAAGAAATCAGGCACAAAATGAGTATCCAAAACACTTTCTGGAAGCTGAGCTACTGTTACATTACACTACCAGGTGATGTGATATTAATTGATTTGCATGTGTGGCTGTTAATGTTCATTGTCAACTTGACTAGATTTAAAATCACCTAGGAAATATGTGGATCATGTCTGTATGAGGACATTTCCAGAGAAATTTAAATGAGGAAGCTTTGAAGACCCAGCCTGAATGTGGGTGGTACCAATTCATTGGCTGGGGTCCTGGACTGAATAAAAGGGAGGAAGCCAGCTGTGCACCAGCATTCCTTTATCTCTACTGACTGCAGTCACAGTGTGCCTGGGTACTTCACACTCCTGCCACTATGCTGTCTCTACTATGATAAAGTGTGTCAGCTCAAACTGTGAACCAGGGTAAACTCTGTCTCTGTTTTGTCATAGTAATGAGAAAAGAAACCAGCACTGCATACATGTTGATAAAGCTTCTAAGGAGGCTTTGAAGGATGGATGCCCAGAAGTCCAATGGAAAAGTTTTTATTTTTTAAAAAAGATTTGTTGATTTTTCTTTTATGTATATGAGTGTTTGCCTGAATATACATGTGTGTATCATATTCATGCTTGGTACCTGCAGCCTAGAAGAGGCATCCGGTCCTCTGGAACTGTAGTTACAGACAGTTATAAGCTGCCACATAGGTGTTGGAAACTGAACGCAGGTCCTCTGCAAGAGCAGCAAATGCTCTTAACTGTTGAGCCATCTCTCCAGCCTCTGAAAGTGTTTTAATGTATACTTACTGAAGTTTGCTCTAGGACCAAATGGAACAAATATCACAGGATCAACTAGGAATGCTGTGACATCAAAGTGTTCTACCTTTTTGCCATTTTCTTTCAAATGAACCACATCCCACTAAGCTCTTTATAATTTTCTCCTTGTCTTGTGACCCAGACAAAAACACTGACAACTAACAGCCACAACAGACACAAATTGGTAAGGAAAAAAAAAACACAAGAAAGATTGGCATAAAAATGGAACCAGGAATTTCACTACAGGTAACAAGTCAAAGTGTGGAAAGGAGCTCAACCTCACAAACAGTTGAAGAGCTGCCAATTAAAATACAGATAAAGTGGTGGTGCATGCCTTTAATCCCAGAACTCAGGAGACAGAGCAAGGTCCAGGCCAGCTGGGGTTACAGGGAGACCCTCTCTTAAAAAGAAAATGAAAAAAGAATACAGATAAAATTGTCCTTCCATTAGACTGGAAAAAATGAAAAAGAAAGACACTATCTCCAAGAGAGGATGGAAAGAAGTGAATATGAATATTGAGGGAGAAATTAGTCAGTCCTGCAAAATATTGAATATTTGTATCCTATCAACCCAAAATGCTAGAGTAAGAATAAACTTTAGTGACACTCTTGCATGTAGCACAACAAATCTCATTTGTTTTTAAGAACAAAACCAAACATGGACATAATTCAAATCACAATCGATATAAGAAAGGACATTTTAATATAATATATTCAAAAAACCAAACAAAACAAAAAACTAGATTTATACTTATCAACCAGACCAGACCCAAAAGACGGGAATAGATGAGAAAACAAGGAGTAATGTGCCAAGACCTGTGTAACTCTTAAGATGTATACAAAACAAGGTGATGCATATTATAAAAGTATAAACTTTGTAATAGAAAAGATTTGTCATTAATTTCAAGAAAAACAGGAATGGTACCAGGATGTGTGAAATTTTCCATTGTAATGGTAGTATTTTGTTTATTTAATCAGAATTCCAAAAGAGGAGCTGGATTAATCATGGAACAGGAAAACAAGTTGCCAGAATAAAGTCAGTGATGCTGTCTTCCCTCTCACATTACCTTCAAGTTTGGATTATATGTATAAGCAATTCTTTTCTATTTTTTTTTACTCTCAACCACTTAAATATGCCACTAATTTCCACTCATATTTGGAAAGAAATAGAGGCTAAACAACAGAGAAAAAAATCCTTTGTGTCCCTCCCAGAAGCTCCAGTGTAATTAACTCATGCCCAAGACGGGCATCATGCAAACAGCAAAACACATCTCCCAATATGTGGCTTAATAAAAAGTAAAAAAACAGCCTGTGTACACTTGAGATGATGCTTTCTTGTTCCTAAGCAGTCCCTCCTCCACCTGAACAATGATGCCTCCTTGCTTGGATGGACACCACATCCTAGCTTCTTAAGTAAAGTCTTAATGTGACCATGAACAACAACTCTGGGAGCTCTGTTTGAGCCAGGAACATTATCAATTATTTGGCTTTTCAGAAATACAATTTTTCTTCTCTAGTGTAAGGATATGAACACCTGCTTTCAGATCTACCCACACAACTTATTATGTTGATATGTTGATTAAGTGGCTATGAAAGGACTATGTAAAATTTAAAAATTCAATGTCATTGCTAGTTCAACTATTTGTAGTCCTTAGCAAAAATTAAGTGCCAATACGAATGTATAAGCCTTAAATGAGAATATGTTTGATAAACGTCTAAATAATAGGTTTATTTTCTAAGACAATTTGAAATGCTTTCAAAGCAAAAAGTAAAGCAAATGCTTTCAAATGTTTTCCCAAAGCTTCTCTCAGCTGTTGCTATATTTTAAAAATGGAAATAGTCACTACTCATCTATTTTTGTAATTTCTACTTTAGAAATATAGACTAGAAGGAATTTAGATAATCATTGTCTGGTTTAGAGCTGAGGTCATTTATCTGTGCATAAAGGGCTGGCTTGGACATGAGTATTTTCTGTGTCAGCATTCCAAAGGGTTTATATTACATATTA